AGCCGCTGGTGGAGTAATCTAAGCCTAACAATTTGTATGGGCCATCCTTATCATTGTTATTGTAATAATATTATTATTAATTTTTTATTTTTTTATTTTTTTTTATAATTATTTATAGAGCACACTTGCCCCAGTTTTTTTTAGACCCACAAACAGAACCCTCTAGGATCCTCTAGCGCTCTAAACAGAATTTCAATACTGCTATTTTTGTTGCTCTGTCGATCTGTGTTCAATAATCTTTTGCTGCGCTATGATTGCGGCTAATTATGTGTCAGTATCGATGTTACTTCTTTATGCGCCAATGACCAGAGCGGGTAGCGAATGACCGAACTCGAATTATCGGCCGCTCTTTGTTGAAAATCAATCAATCAGAGTAGCAGCTTTTTTACAGCCCCAGAGCAGGCAATTAGTTAATGTATTATAGCCATGTGCCACAATTATTTCCAAAATTTTCCCCTTGTACTCATATTCCATTACCCATATAGGCAGTGCCATTGGTCTATTTCGATAACGTGGACACAATTATCTTCAACAAGCTATATTCTCTCGTGTCACACTCACGGCCTAGTCTACATTTATGTGTGTGTGTGTGTGTGTGTGTGTGTGTGTGTGTGTGTGTGTGTGCGTGTGCGTGTGTGTGTGCGTGTGCGTGTGCGTGCGTGCAAGTGTGCATACGTGCGAGTTTGTGTTCGCGAGAAAACATTTGCTAGCTAGCCGCCCGTTTTAAAAACCGACCGCACTTTTCGCGCGACCTGACCCCCGCGCAGCCGGAGTTCACGACCGAGACCCTGCAGTCGCCGCACGCGTCGCTGCCGTCGCCGAAACTCGAGGACACGTTCAGCATCACGAGCGTCGGCACGCGCAGCGAGGCCAGCCACCACTCCTCCGAGCATCGGCGCAGCAACGAGAGCATCCCTCGCGACAGTCCCTCGCGCGCCCGACTCTCCTCCAACGACTCGATACGCAGCGCCCGCAGCAGCAGCGTCACCTCGCGCTCGACGATCGCCACCGAACGCGAGCGACAGGGCAGCGGCGGCGGCGGCGGCGGCGGCGACAGCGCCCGATCGGCAGCAGCGGCGGCGGCGGCGGCGGCGGCGACGGAGCAGGATCGTCGGCACAGCGGCGGAGGCGACATCTCGCAGCGCCGCTGCAGCGAGGTCAGCCATTTTGGTCAGATGGCGGAGCGGAGGCGAGGCGAGCTGCGCCGTGATCGCAGCTACAGCTCGGGAAGCCGGCAGCGGAGCGAGTCCCTCTCCGAATCCGGGATAGGTATAACTGAAGCCCGATCGAGGGCCAAAAGATCCGTCCCTTGGATATATTCATATATGTGTGGGGGATGTATATTCATACTTCCAGTCAATAAGCAATACTAATACTAAAAATAAGGAAATCGCCGGGAAGAGAAAAGTTACTTGACTAAAATTTTATATACATGCAGTAGCATTGTTGTCATGAATTAATACGACAAAATGGTGGCAAAAACTATTATACGCTCCTTTTTTCCAACGAATCAGCAGATAAAAATTATTGAACAATAAGGAAATAAAACAATTTAAAAATCGAATATCTGTAAGCCTAAAACATAAATCAATAATTTTCCTAATAGTTCTCAGTAACACTGTCCTTGCGTGCACACTCGCATCGCGTCATATCGACTCTACACACATACACATGTACATCAGACTACTAAAAACTGCTGAAAACTGTGAACTTATTGAAAAAAAAACAGACATTATTCTTCAGATCATATTCACCCTTTTCCTCGCGAAATCTGCATATCAAACATGCCGTGAAAAAAAGCAAGAATTATAATGAAATATTAAAGAAAAACATCCAAACAAATTCCTACTTGCTCCCACACTCACACTGAAGCTGAAGTTAATTTATTCAGCTAACGTCTGTTCTCTTGATTGCTAACACGTGTCCGTGCACACGTCTGCAGGTACACTCGATCTCGACCTATACCGCAGGAAGACGGACGTGATTTCTCAGAAGCTAGACGAACCATCGAGCGGCCTTGGCAAGCTTCACTTCCGATTGCGTTACGACTTTGACAAATCGGATTTTGTCATACACCTGATTGAAGGTGAGGCATGGTGGGAAAAGGTTCGGCTGGCTCGTGTGAAATTACAGAGGCAGCGGACGCGTCGACGGTAAGGCAGACTGCCACTCACATGCGTGCGCAAATGAAATCAAGCTGCGAGTATTCTTTATGCGTGTAAAAATCCCATGCTGGTGAATATCAGATATTTCCAGATTATTTAGCTCTTATTATATAAAAATCGAAGCAGGGCAACGTTACTAATCAGAATACTACGCGTCTGGGTTCACGTGGCGTAGAAAAATGATTGCAACATTATATATAATATAATTATATTGCAAGCATTATCCATCCATCCATTTATCCATTCATCCATTCATCCATTCATCTATCTACGTATCTTGTCTCTACATGCAAAGATAATCCTAGCAGATACAATACAATTACTTAAAGAAAATG